TTTTTTGAAACACGTCTGCCAGAGGCCTACCATTAGAGTTCATAAAAGCAATCCCCCAGTAGAGGCTCTGCTCTATTGGTGAGGAGCTGCACCTGCTGGAGATCGGGTCCAACGTCCCTTCTTGTACCTTCAGACAACAGCAAATGGAAGGAAGGCTTATGCCCTGCTTCCTTGTTGTGGCCCCTATGTTATCGTTGCCAAAAAGGGAAAGAAAATCTTCTGCACTTTGTAACCCCTAAGTGGACTACCGCCTGTCACAGAAAATAAGAAATTACTTTTTTCTGTGTTTTCACCCACACAGGTCCATCCCACCTCGTAGGGCCACAAAAGGCCAGAGGGTGGTAAGCGTTCTAGCCGAATCACCGAGACATAATTTGTTCAAGGACTGCTATGTCTCACTTGCTCTCAATCCTTCAGAATCTGTCTTTGAAGCCCACTTCTTTCGGCCACTCTCCGCGGGAATAAACCCTGTTTGTGGAAGAACCCTGGCAAGCTGCAACCTTATCAAGCATGCTACGGTGCTACCCTTGTTTTTCTTTTTATCTATCTTTGTTTTTAAAATGTTAAATTACCAGTACCTACCGGTTGGGGCGGCAGTTAACATGGACGATGAATCGGCCTGCCCCTCCGGTCCAAATTCATTCGAGGCCGGGGGTCACGAAAAATGCTGTAGGTACTGGTGGTTTAAACACCCACCTGGGGGTCTGCTATTGGGGGTGATATGAACATCCTCCAGTAGAAGACCCGTGGTGGGAGGCTCCGTTCTACTGGCGGGCAGCAGCACCTGCTCCAGAACGGGTCCAGCATCCCTTGTTCATATTAACACATGTGCAACTCATTACTGAGTGCTAACGCGAAATCGATCCGTTGACTGGCAGCATTGGTTGCCCTTCGCATGCAGGGGATATACTGCCTGTCCTCCCTCAGGCTCTTCATCCTTGTCCCAGCCCACCGGCTCGATAGAAGTCTCTCTTGCTGCAGTTGGACTCTTGTGGGACTTCTCCGGAAGTATCGTCGTTGTCTCATGATCTCATCCATCACCTATTCACCATACAAGGTGACTCTGACCGATACCCTTGTGAATCGAGTAGGCGATTTTGGATTCGCTCTTGGTACTTTGGGCTGTTTTGCTATTTTTCAAACAGTTTCCCTTGTTTCTTTCATGATCTCAGATCCCCGTACGTCGCTCTTACACTAGTTCCCATTTTCAATGTGCATTTCTTTCATAGCCAATTGGTGCAACACAGAATATTCCACCAGCGATGTTCCCGAGTTTGGATCCAATGGAGAAAGGACAAAGCCAAAAAGTCTTTAGACCTTCAAAAGATTGTTGTAATCAGATCACATACTCTGTTTCTTCACACCCAGGAGGGCGAGATTCATTATTTCGACTTATGTCGCTCCGATTTTTATGAAAAATGCATGTCTTTTCAATACAACTCGTTCTCCTAATTGGTTCAAGGGCTAGGTTGCAGGCTAGATTCACTTTTTTCCCCGGAGAGTACATCTCCAGGGTATGTTGTGTTTTAAACTGTTTTTAGCATTTAGGATGAAACCACGAACTCCATTTTTGTCATCCAATTTGAGTATGCGCGTTATATCTATGCAAGTCAAGCGTTTGGCAAGAGCAGGTCCAGGCTGTCCAGCTGCTTCCCCTTGTGAAGTGCTAATGGTTATATAGTAGATCCCCAACAGACTTGAACTTCTGCCATGCGATTCTTATCCTACCAACCAACAATCCAGCTAGATTAAACCACCAGTACTTGGCCCAGCTATGGGAGAGCCAAAAATAGAGTAGAATGGTTTCTAGCCAGATGAATTTGGGCGCTCCCATAGTGGCCCATACATTTCCTAAACCCATGGCTTGTTAACGGGCACGACTTTAGGAAGTACTGGTGGTTTAATAGGCATGATTCCTTCTTTCAACTAACACTTGGGGTTAGCGTATACCTTCCCTTCACCGATCGGGTTACTGAATGGTACAAATACGCTGCGATTTTTGAGGGGCGACTGTCTGGTGTAAGATTCTATACGGTAGTTTTTAATCCTAAATTCCTAATCTTTTTTTTTTTTTTTTTTTTTTAAATTGGACCATTTCTCTATTTATGCGTGTCATCCTTGAAAGCGCAGGGGCCATGCTAATCTTCTCTTTCTCTGTATCGTTCCAATTTTTACGGATGTCCCGAAGGACAGTTTGATCCTAATCCTTTTTTTTTTTT